GTGATAATAAAAAGGTTGGGGACCACTGCTGTAATGTACTGAATGTTCTCTTCTTTGTGTGGGAAATGTCTGAGTGTCTTTTGGTGTTGAAACCTAAAACATATAGTGGTCAACTGGTATACATGTAAAGCATATTGATGTAAAGCACTTTGAAATGCCTTGCTGCTGAAATGTGCTATACAAATAAAATTGTATTGATTAATCTGCTTGTTCTGCGAGGACAAGCAGATGTATATACCTGGAGGGATACATCCTGGATTGATTTGGATTCATGATAACAGGATTTCTGGACTTGGCATATCAACAAATTTGTGATGGGTTGGGCCAACTAGCAAACAGGGCAAGTTGGATGCAATTCTTGCTGAGATTCACAGGCCAGCTGTGGACCTTAAAACTCAATAGTGGGATGGAATTGATCTTGGAGAAATCGCTAGTTTTAGTCCAGCGGGAACAGTCACACTAAATTTGAAGTACAGCTTCAGTTATTACAACTAAAACCTAGCGATCAGGACCAAAACCTGGGAGTAGTGATGGACTCTGACCTGAACCTTCAGAGCCACATAAAAACAGTTACAAAGTCAGCCTTCCATCACCTGAAGAACATCTCCAGGATTAGAGGACTAATGTCTCAATGAGATCTAGAGAAACTCATCCATGCATTTATCTTTAGTTGCATTGATTATTGCAACATCTTCACAGAATTAAAAATGAAGAGAGCTCAGGGCTTAAAGAGTTCCGGCCAGGGGCCGGATTTCCGGCTTTTGACCAAACGGTCCGCCTCAACCAAACTGTAGTCTCCGGGACCCTTCTAGACCGGAACATGTCGGCGGCGACGCATCTAAATTCGCAGTACCGTAATTCCGCCACACGTAGCGCTATCTGAAAAATTCCAACGGTTTCTGAAAGGGGAGACATTGCACTTTGCAGCAAATATCGGGTTAATACGGTAACTTCACAGCTGCAGCTGCAGAGAGTGTAATTAATCCGGGGGGCACTCGTTTAATAGACGGTAAATTGCGAAAATAACTTGCTGGATATTGAAAGTTCCGGTTGTTATGGATACATGGGTAAGTATATCATCTCGCAGGACATTTAAAGAACTACTTACAATTAAAATAAAGAAGATTTATTTAGTCAGACATTTGAAACTTAGGCGTAAAGAGCTCAGTCTGGGGGCCAGACTTCCAAGCAAAGCAAGCATTGGACCAAAAGGCCTGCCTCAACTAAACTGTAGATAATAGACAAAGATGTCTGCCAATCAGAATTCTAGCTCCCGTGTTCTTGACCAATGACTGTAAAACGTTTTGTAGAAAAGAACTGCATCCGTTCGGTTAAATCGAATGCGATATGAATGAAGATGGAGTTTCTCACCCGGTAAAGAAACACGTTTATTGAGAAAGGAATTAAAAACAGGTGGTGCTGGGCAAAGGAAAGGGGACAAGACGGGAAGTTGGCGGACATTTTTACAAAAGGGGGGCGCTGGGATTCCTTTGGGGGGCATTTGGTCGAAGGTAAACTTTACACCTTCAATCACAATACCAGTTTAGACTTTGAGCAACTTGGTAAAACTGTATTGTGTAACATTAAAACATGTTTGGCTGCAACTGTATCGATGGCAGCTCTTCTTCTATTCAGTGTTTGTAGCTTCTTGGCGCAGCTCCGTTCTGCTGCTACTAGTAGCTTCACCGCATCAGGTCAGCATTACACCGGCTGATGACATTGCTGTGATTCACTTTGTCTGCTGTCTGATTTTCTAATATTTTATGTTTTATTGAGGATTTTTTTACATATGTTTTGGCAGTTCTGTGATTATGTCAAAGCAGCAACTTATATTAAAAAGTGTTTTATTTCCGTCAACATATGATGTGAAACACATGATGATTAGGAGGCGCAGCAGGTGCTGAGTGAACATTAATGATGGTGAGCGTCAATAAATGATAAAATAAATCTAGCAACAGGAAAG